ATAAAAAAGGTTATTCTCCCAAGTAGAAGTAGAACATCAGTTGAAATAACATTTATATATTCTGGCTCATCTCTTCATGATGTGTGTGTGCGTGCGTGCGTGTGTGTGTACGCACGTGTAAATCAAACTGACCTTCAAAATTGTTTTGAACACCGAGAAGCAGTATACTTCTATTTTTATATCCGTAATGTGGAATCAAAAATCTAATTTCACATTGAAGTGCAAAATTTTGTGAAATGGTTAGAAAATAATTTCAATTTTTTTCTTGAATTTAGGATTTATGAGTGTGGTGAAGAGAGTTATTATTGTTATTTTTCTAATTGGCTCCCAAATAACATCTGATAGGTCTACAACTACGTCTGCAAAGTATTTTGCCCTAGTAATTATTGTTTTTCAAACAAATATTGGCTGACATATATATATATATATATATATATATATATATAGTATTTAATTTCTATAATACGCCTCTAGATTGATAAATATTGGAAATATTTTCAATGTCTGACATGTTTTAAAATGAGTAAGCCAATTGACTTTTCTACCGGATGTTGTAGTGACTTTTATAAGTGCGCTTGTTGGTGAAGGTGTTGGTACACACACCTTGGTGTCTAGTAGAGGTGTAGATTGTTCTGTTGTGCTGTTTTTTGTAGGTAAATTCAAATACACCAGTTTTAGTCTGTCTATGGAGATAGTGGTAAAATATTTTGATTTCCTTTCTACTACTTGGAAATGTCCCGAGTAAGTAGAGCTTAGAAGTTTTTTTTTACTTCATCATTGCGTAAGAAAATGTATTCACAGTTGTGAAGACCCTTTGGTATGTACAGGGTCTTTGTGTTTTCGTAAGTTTGAAGACTAAATCACTCGTTGGTTGTTTGAAATCTTGTACAAAAATGTAGTTGGCTGTGGATGATTGTTTTATTTTTCCCAAAATTGCCTAAGCAGTGTCAAGGATGTTCCAAAGACCATTTCTGAAGCTATGTATCCCAAATTCTGTTTGATTTACTTTCTGGTTGATTACAAGACTAGTGGTAGGTTTCCCATCCATGTTCCTGAATAGTTATTTGCTTTTAGCGCTGCTTTAATCTGCCTGTGAAAGCGTTCAATGAAACCATTAACACAAGGATGATATCCTGTGGTTGTTATATGTTTGACCCATAGTAATTTCGTGAATTCTTTGAAAAGTCTTGATTGAAAATTAACTCTTCGATCTATTGTTATCACATATGGACACCCGAAGATAGCTATCCATTCGTTTAAGATGCTTTTAGAGATCGATTGCACAGATATATCTTTTAGAGGAACGGCGACTGGCCACCTTGTAAATCGATCGATAATGGTTAGTACATATGCATGGCCATTTGCTTCTGGTAGAGAGCCAACTATATCTATATGTAGGTTATGAATCTACCATCTGGTTTGATAAATTCGCCAGGAGGAGATTGTGTATGCATGTTCAATTTGCTTTTTTGATGATTTACACAAGTTTGAGTTTTTTTTATATCAGTGTTCATTTTGGGCCAGACTGTATATTGCCTCTATATTATCTGAAACTTTAATGTAACGATTATCAGACATAAATTGGGATATATAGTCCAGTTGTCGAGTGTCTCTGTATATTCACATGTCAGGTGTATGTGAGAGGACTGTGATCAGCGAAAAGAGTAAAAACAGTAAACAGTAAAAATTCGTAGATGTCGGAAATGTCTTATAGACAAATAAATTGCAAATAATTCCTTCGGGAAGGCATAGTATTTCTGTTGTGCTCTGTCCAATTTTACAGAGAAAAATGCCGTTTTTCTTTTTCTGCTCCAACTGAATTTGAAGAAGCATCAGCCGTTAATGTTACTGTTGAATTATCATCTTCATAGATATAGGAAAATTTAGAGAAATTTGCTAACGCCTTTTTAGAATGCAGTTAATATTTCTCGTTTTAGGTTTATTTTTGCATTCTTACTTTTTTGTTTCTGTAGAAAATTTGTGAGTAAAATCAAGATTTTTGCGCAACCTGGAATAAATCTTTGGTGATAATTAATTAAACCAATGTATCTCCACAGTTGCCGTGGCGATGTTGGTTGTGAAAATTGCCGTGTTGCTGCAACTTTCTCTGGAACAAGTGCAATACTATGTTTGTTGATCACATGGCACAAGAAAGTCAATTGAGGAACAGTGAATTTACATTTGTTGACATTTATCTTTAAACCGAAATGTTCCAGTCTCTCAAAAACTTTTGTAAGTGGTCATGATGTTCTTTGATATCCCGACTAGCGATGAGAACATTATCAATAGATGAAAAGGAAAAATTTAGCTCTCTCAACAGTTCCTCAGTTTCTCTGGAAACTGAGTTGCATTACGTAATCCAAAAGGTATACTCGTGAACACGTAGAGCTCGAAAGGTGTGGTAATCGCAGTTTTCTTTATATTTTCTTCCGCTACTGAAATTTGGTAGTATAATTAACCAAATCCAGTTTTGTGAGAACTTTTGTTCCTTGTAAACTCATGGAGAAATCGTGTATATGTGGGATGGGATATCTATCTGGAACCGTTTTTGCGTTTAGATTCCAGAAATTGCTACAACGACGCCAAGTCCCTGTGTCTGGTTTTGGAAACGGACACAGGAAACTATTTTGGAACCATGTGTAGTAAAGAGTATGGGTTGCTTGAAGGGCGTATGATACCTAGTTGGTGCATATGCTGAAATTTGTCTTTTGCTATTTTGTATTTATCAGGACGTGGTGGTGCATGGGTTGGAGATGCCGTAGTTTCGATGTGATTATTTACATTATTTACATTGTTCGGACTGTTGTCCACATCTTTATTGTCATGTTCACAACGTTTCGTCCGCTGTACGCTCCGGCCTTTTTTAGGGGGCGGTGATCATCTTTTTCCCACCATATGTGGTCAGCTACGCCTGATTTTTCTATTTTCCCTCGTGTCACGACTTTTCGATATTCTTCCAGTCTTTCCGTAAGAGGGCGGCCTGTTTCTCCTTCATATATCTCACTACAGCTGCACGGAATGGCGTACACACAGTTCTTAGTCATATTCTCTTCTAAGGGAGGTCTTACTTGGAAGAGGTGTCTGCAAAGTGTCGAACCACTTTTGAAGATCGTCCTGATTTTATATGGACTACGAAAATACGAAAACTTAAGGAATCAGCACGTATGCTAGGCCACAAAAATGTCCTAAGCCGGCCAACCGTTGAAATGAATATAATATGGGAGCAAGTAACATGGAGTGTTAGAAAAAGCAATAATAGCAACAAAATTCAAAAGAAATATAGACATATTTTGATGTGATGTTTAGCAGAATGGCGAATTCCTCTTCGTGTGCTTTAAAATAGAAGGATTTTTTTTTTACCAACTCTTGTATTCCACAGTTGATAAGGCAGAGCTAATTCCTGTCTGGGTATTCAGTCAAGTGATGCCTTTTGTGGCTAGCTTTGTGTTATTGTCAATGACGGAGCGTGTCGCTATATCTACTGATAGTTGAAAATGGGATAAAAAAATCCGTTCCGAGAAAAGGTGTTCTTACTTGGGCTCGTGTGAAAATCCACGGAAAAGGTCACCGCAAAGCCAAATTGAGAGTTAACTATACTTCTCCATGTTTGAATTTTAGATCCGTTTGCAGCCTGAAGTCTGATTTGTGCGCCAGTATCGATTAAAAATAAGTATCCGGTATTTTTTGTCGTAGATATAAAATAGAGGGTATCTGTATTCTATACCACTATACCAGAATCTGTCTTTACGTGCTACCGGGATATCCGTTCCCCTGGTGTGCAGTTTGGCTTTTTCTTGAATTGGCTTATACCCACTTGTTCTGCCTGGGGAGTGGGGATTCTTTTTAACGTCCGCACGAGAGCGATGACTATTTTGCGGTTTGTTTTTCATTAAGCTTTCAATTTGAATACATAACTCTGTTATACTTTTTCTAGTTGTGACAATCTGTTTATCCGCAGTGGTGAATGTAACGAATACATTGTCCTCTTGGATATTTTTTCGTGTATTTTATCGGCAGTTTCCAATAATCTGTCCAACTCCAATTTGTCTGGAAGTGATGCTAGAATTTGTGTTGTATGTGAGTGAAGTTTGTCTGTCCACAGCTTTTTTTAACACTGTGCTATACATATCATTTTTACCTAGCAGTGTCCACATTTTCCTTATTACAGGCATACCTCAGGTTACGACGTTTCGAATTAAGTCGTTCTCGATAATACGTCGTTTGTCAAAAATATATGGAGAAATAAAAATCAAGTTTAAGTCATTTTATTCGATTTTATGTCGGTCCGGCACAAATATTGAAGTCGTAATATCAGTAGAAAATATTATTTTATAATGTCTAACGGCAAAGCACATTCACAAATAAGGAGTCCACGATGTATTGCAAAGATCGCCAAATTGTAAACATCTATATTTACAAGTATGTACATACATGTATTTGTAAATTTAGATTACTTTTTCTGCACTATATTAAAAACTAAAAGTTATTTGTTTGTAAGCGTAAAACAGATTCTTATTGACCATATATTATTAAAAATGCATTTATAAATAAAATACAGAACTGGGAATGGTTATTTGTTGCTTGGCCCAGTGACAAGTAAATTCGGAGATAAGTAAATTCGACTTAAGTCGTTTTTCGACTTAAGTCGCCTCAGCTGGAACAAATTAGCAACGTAAGGTGAGGTATACATGTATATTTTATTTTTTTCGACATTGGCATTTGTATAGCTATTGCATTTATTGAGTCGAAGCGAATATGTGATATTTACGTGTGAGGTCTGATCGTGTTAATTTGAATCCAGCATTCAAAGAATAATGACAATTTTCTTCGACGATTTTAATACAAGTAGATATTTTGGTAGTTTATTGTAATGAGGTGATAAGAATGTTGATTTGATTCGAAAGTGAAAAACAAAAGAAACAAAGAAAGAATAGAAGAACAAATCAAAGATAAAAGGGAAAACGGAAGCAAAGAAAAGAAAAAAGAATTGGACAAAGACGCTAAACTAAGAAAAAAGAAAAGAAGGAAAAAATGAAAACGAACAAAGAAAAAAATAAAAATGTAAAAATGAAAAATGCAAAGAAAGAAAATAAAGAAAAAAATGAATCGCACAATGAAAGAGAAACAAAAAAGAAAATAAAAGAAATAGAAAGAAAAAGAAAAAAGACAAAGAAAGAAGAAACTAAAGGAAAAGAAAAGAAAGAAAAGAGACAAAGAAGAAAAGCAAAAGAAAAAAAAAAAAAAAACAAAGAAAGAATAGAAGAATAAATCAAAGATAAAAGTGAAAACGGAAGCAAAGAAAAGAAAAAAGAATTGGACAAAGACGCTAAACTAAGAAAAAGAAAAGAAGGAAAAAATGAAAACGAACAAAAAAAAAAAATAAAATGTAAAAAGGAAAAATGCAAAGAAAGAAAATAAAGAAAAAAATGAATCGCACAATGAAAGAGAAACAAAAAGAAAATAAAAGAAAGAAAAAAAAAGAAAAAGACAAAGAAAGAAGAAACTAAAGGAAAAGAAAGAAAAGAAAAGAGACAAAAGAAGAAAAGCAAAGAAAAAGAAAAAAAAAACAAAGAAAGAATAGAAGAATAAATCAAAGATAAAAGTGAAAACGGAAGCAAAGAAAAAAAAAAAGAATTGGACAAAGACGCTAAACTAAGAAAAAGAAAAGAAGGAAAAATGAAAACGAACAAAGAAAAAAATAAAAATGTAAAAAATGAAAAATGCAAAGAAAGAAAATAAAGAAAAAAATGAATCGCACAATGAAAGAGAAACAAAAAAGAAAATAAAAGAAATAGAAAGAAAAAGAAAAAAGACAAAGAAAGAAGAAACTAAAGGAAAAGAAAGAAAAGAAAAGAGACAAAGAAGAAAAGCAAAGAAAAAGAAAAAAAAGAAACAAAGAAAGAATAGAAGAATAAATCAAAGATAAAAGTGAAAACGGAAGCAAAGAAAAGAAAAAAGAATTGGACAAAGACGCTAAACTAATAAAAAAGAAAAGAAGGAAAAAATGAAAACGAACAAAGAAAAAAATAAAAATGTAAAAATGAAAAATGCAAAGAAAGAAAATAAAGAAAAAAATGAATCGCACAATGAAAGAGAAACAAAAAAGAAAATAAAAGAAAAAGAAAGAAAAAGAAAAAAGACAAAGAAAGAAGAAACTAAAGGAAAAGAAAGAAAAGAAAAGAGACAAAGAAGAAAAGCAAAGAAAAAGAAAAAAAAGAAACAAAGAAAGAATAGAAGAATAAATCAAAGATAAAAGTGAAAACGGAAGCAAAGAAAAGAAAAAGAAATGGACAAAGACGCTAAACTAAATTCGACTTAAGTCACCTCACCTAAGGTGTGGTATACCTGTAGTTAGGTTGGCTTCATGTCACCGAGAGTTAAATTATTAAACAGGTCATGCAGGTTTCTTTCATTGAATCTGCCTGTGTGGCGTATAATGACATTTTTCAATGTATCATAAGGATTTTCTTCGGGCATTTCTTCCAAGAAACAACCACCTCAGTTGCAATATCTGGATGTAGTTTCTCCACCACATCTGCATATTTTGTGATATGATCTTTATAGCGAAAAAATCGCATATAGTTGGGAGAACCCGGTTTGTACGTTTGTCGGGTTGTGTGTTGGGCGGTTCACTCTCAATGTGGCTTCTGTAGAGTTGGTCGCAGCGATTGTCGGTCAGTAGGGAAATGTCCCGGCGACGTGGTGATGTTTAAAAATGTATGTTGCTTTTCGAAATACTATAGAAGAAATGCTCTTTAAACGTCACAGGTCAACACTGTCAGGATCCACCTACACAGGTTTGTGTTGCTATCTGAGTGTCGCGATACCAAAAATTTAACAACAACACATCTTAAATGAAACATAAAAAAAAGTTATTCTCCCAAGGAAAAGTATAAGTAGAAGGACAGTTGAAATAACATTTATATATTCTGTTCAGAGATATGCAATGACAAGAAAATGTTCCATTTCACTTGCAGTGAAATTTGTTTAGCAATTAAATGAGTGTTCTTAGTTTGGTGAGACATGCGTGGACACACTTTAAGACGGTCAGCATAATGTGCCTGTGAGTGCGAGTTATACTTATAAAAACCCAGGTTGTTTGTGTGTGTGTGTGTGTGTGTGTGTGTTCGTTTATATATGGGATCGGATTTCCTACATTTTTCAACCGATTTCAACAAAACTTCACTTTTTTGGCAGATAGTGTTTCTTATTGTCTTGCACACTTTTTTCTTTATTTTTACATTCAGAATGCTTTAAAAATTCCATTTACAAGACAATTGTTTATAATAAAATTCTATTCAATCGGTAGACTCATAACGATTGAAAACAATGTTTTTGTTTGAGTTTGACCAATTCGTAAAAAAAAAACAAAAACAAAAACAAAAAAAAAACACCAACAACAAAAAACTAATTAAGACATGCGTGTCCGTCAACTTTAAACAATAATCTTTGTCAATCTTATTTTTCAGTCTTCATGATGGTCGATACTCTACTGCTAGTCTTAAATAAATCAAAAGCTTTCTGTGTCAATTTTTAACATCAACTTGATATTTTTCTTATTAAAAAATTGATTAATTTTAACATATTCAACATTATAGATAAAAAGTAGTGAATATTATATCGTGATTTTAGCATGAACAAAACAAATTTACGGATTTGGAAAAAAAAAAAAGCAAACGAAACCAGAATTACGTCAAAATCCACAAAGATTTTTTATCCTTTAATAGTCAGTTGTGCTTAGTTTAGTCTATATTTCTGAGATGAGGTATTGTAACTATTTATATTGTTCTAACTGTTATCCTCATCTTTATTGTTATATTCCCAACATTTCGGCCGTTGTACCCTCCGGTCTTCAGGTGATATTTGTTTGAAATTTGAATCGAACCTATAAAAGTCAATCTGAATATTGGTGTTTCTGAAGATTGGTTCGATTGCGTTTGTGAAAAAAAAAAATTTCTTCGAATGAGGCTGTCTTCTGCGGCTTCTGTTCCAGCTTGAGTCCAGCTAATTCTTTTGTTGGTTTTAGACGGATAGATTCTTATGGTGAATAAGTAAATTGTAACTAATGAATGGACCATGAATAAGATTAGCTAGGTATATGATAGTGTAGAGGACCGTGTGGGTTTGAGTGTTGTTGAATTAGAAACACGTGCTATTTATTCCTGCTAGAAGGTCCAACTACAAGAATATGGAGGACTCAAGTTGGGTTCAACCGAAGATGTAAAGAAAACAAACAAGACCGAAATATATATATGTCAACAAATATATGTATTAAACAACAAATTTACAAGTGACAAAGACATTAACATTTGTGTTTGTGTGTGAACGTAAAGAGTTTGTATTTTAGTGAATGTTCGTACGTACGTGTATGTGTGTATAATCTTCATGGCGTCTCCCACAAATGGGAAGACGCTATCTTTGCGAGAGCTTACATTGTAGATGTGTTCGCTGAAATGAAGAAATGAAATAAAGAACAAGGCAATAAATTGCCTAGTATTTATAGTGTAGGCAGAGCAACCCCCTGGTGAACAATTAGGGAATTAAGGAGGAGCTAACCCCAACAATACTGTCGACCAGCCTTGACCCATCTCCCCTCTTTTTTTCGGACTTGTGCCACAATTAGTGTATCTAATCAGCATTAAATCGTAGACAGGATAACGTCTGACCAATATGGAACAAACTTCGTCCTTAAATTGCGTTATGGTACCGATTACAAGAAAGAAGGAGTTGTCTACTGAAGACTTGCTCGCAAGTACGTCAGAAGTCTTACAGCATAAATTCAAACCGGTCTTGAAAGTAACGGCTTGTTTGATGATGAAATTGTTGAAGTTACGCAGTTGTCGGATCAGAACATTGACATGTTTGCAGCCACAAACTTCATCGAGCGAATATTTAGTAACCCTCATTTCAATTTTCAAACATTTTCTTGAATTTCATTGGTTGTTAGATAAAAATAAGCTCCGAGAAATTTCAACGGTCAAAATTTGTGCAAAAATGGGCTCAACTGACAAAATATTTCTCAAATTCATCCCTAATTTAAATGTTACAAGAAATCCTATTGGCTAAAAAATAAAAAAAAAATACAACATTCGCCCACGCATTTCTCAGAAAAATTCGCAACAAGCTACCAAGCCGCTGGAGCCGATTTTGTTGTTAAAAAAATAGAAACAGCAAACAAATTTTCGTCGCATTTTGAGACTCACACACGCAAAGATACACACGGGAATTATGTGTCAAAATTGCCGCCAAAGAAACAAACTTTCTTTATGAGAGATTGGAAAAATTCAGACAACAAACTTTTTCACTTAATATCTTTCATAAAAAATTTTTTTTGTCTAAATTAATTTCAACCTTTCAATCAAAGGTGGACAACTTTTTAGACATTGAACATTTCTGAAACAGCAAAGAACTTTTTCTCTATACCTTTGCACACATCATTACAAACAAAGAAATTGTAAATTGTGTATATAAAATTTAATCTGTTGTTTCAAACATGTATTTTTTGTCGTGATTGAATATCGTTACGATTTAGCCATTTCTTATAATTTATGTTTGTGGATATTGCATATTTTATTTGCAGCACAATCTTAAATATTCACGCATCCTTCTTAGATCCACTACAAATATCCAGAAACGCCAACACACAGATTGACTATTCTGGATTCGATTCTAAATTCAAACAAATATCAACTGAAGAATGCCGGTGGGTACAACAGCTGTTGCGAATGTGAAAAGAAAGATGAGGTCAACAGTCTAAGCAATATAAATAGCATAAATATATTATTTATATATATGTAGAGGACTCGCGGTCACCATATGTAGTGATATGTTAGTAAGGATGGTCCAATTTGTAGATGTCTGTTTATGGCTGCGTGAATAGCATGACCACACAATTTATGTTTAACGTAAAATACCACAAAACATGAAATACAAGAAGGAACAAAATCGTTTTGAAACAATAACATTTATATTTATTTTTGTGTATTGATGTACATGCGTATAAGTTCTGTTGGTGTTATGTTCCTTAGTCTGTGAATATTTTTATCTTAGCTCACAATTAATTACAAAGCTGAGAAATGCTGAATAAACCGTAGCTTTAGAAGAATATTTCAAAGAGAAAAGTTCTTGTTGCACGTTTGGAAATGTTTCGTATGTTTGTAATGTAGGTTGGTAAAGTTCGTACGTACGTGCATGCGTAAATATGCTTTTAACGTCTGACCGCCTATGGTCGAGACGAGAATCCTTAAGGTCACATCTTCGCAGGTAAAGGGAAGAGTAGAGAAGAGAAAGCAGCAAACATGTATCTGATATCTATAATTAATGTAATCACGTGACAAGCTCACAGAAAATGGTGAGAAAACTTGACTTGGTCACGCACTGGAAAAATATTTGTACGTGGTTGGATTGAAGCTGATATTTCCTGAAAATATTTACTAAACTGAATAGGCTCTCTGATCCACTTTTTTCACAAAAATGTACATAATTCAACATTGATAAGAAAGTGGTAGTGGAATGCTACATATATATTACAAATATATTATTTGCTTATATATTTAATTCTCTTCCTTTATTTTAAAGTGATCCCAATTTTCCGATAAATATTATATGAGCCCCTGACACATCTCCATAATGTATTATTAGATTGAAGTTTAAAAGTAGTAAATTTGACCTTGCGAACCGAACGATTCTCTGTGGCCGAATCGGTTAAAATGCACGTCAGGCCTGAAATTTCTCGGACATTAAGGCCGGTAAATGTTGTTTAATACTGTTTATTATAAACAGAGCATTTACATTATTTGTATCTATAAAAAGAATGTATAAACATAAAATCTCTTAAAATAATTGAGTTATAAGTAGTTTCCGTATTGGGAAACCAATTGTAATGGCAAATGTATCACCCTAACTAAGTATTCCTTAAATCTATTTTATAAAACAAAAATTGATTCTCTGTCTAGCACAAATTATCTGCTTGTGTAATGAACTATATCAACTTGCTGGGGAAAGGGTTCATTGGGTCACCTGTTTGAATAAAAAAATAAAGAAAAGATTGTTGCGTGTTCAAATAAAATGATATTAATTTAAACGTAGGATACACAACTTTTAACTCTAATTACTTATCATGAAATGAAAGTTAAAAATTTCTTTTCTTTGACTCTAAGGGAATGAACATGAATAGTCTTTTAGTGAGGAAGAGAGACAGTGGAATTGAGAGACAAGATCAAAGGGAGTCCGCTGTTGCTTTGAAGAGAAAGACAAGACGCCGAGATTGACTCGTGTCTCTACTGTTGTCAGTCCTTCTGCTGAGTTGAATGAATGTTTGGTTTTTATTGTCTTGTGTTGTAGGCTCCAGAGGCCTGTGTTTATTTACTGGCGGGAGCTGATTTTATTGGCTATTTATTTTTATTAAATTGAAAATTTGAAGTATATTTGAAACCCAGAAGGGCTGCGTGGAGCCTTTGCGTGGTGTGCTTAATTTTGCGACAATTTTTTTTGTCTTTTGTTCCCTTTATTTGATGTTGTTCACTTCCACATTCTTAATCTTTGATTTCGTTAGTGAGAGAATTTTTGTGCTAAGATTTCTGTTAGAGAATATGAATGTTATATTAAGTTGTGTATACTGCCCTGTTTTTTTATTAATTTATTTTTTTAGATGCTGGAATACACGCATATACCCGACGACAGTTGGTGGCGAAAGAGAGCAAGAAAACCCATTTGCCTTTTGTGGCATTAAGTGTAAGACTTTCTGGTTTTATTTTTATTTATTTTTGTATGATGGATTTTTTTTCTCTTTGTGTCTGATTAACGTTAGCAACAACGCTAGAATAATTAAAATACGTTATATTTGTAATGTGGTTATATAAAAGTTTTAGCAATAATTCATATGGGATATTTAAAAAAAAAATGAAAATTTAATTTAAGATTAAGTTCTAAGATTTCAAAAAGAAAAAAAAAGCTGTTGTGAATTTTCGTCACTAAATTAAGTTTAAATACTATTTTAAAATATAATTCTTGCGGAGTGTAGATGTATAGTAATATACAAAATTTAATAATTAAAATACTTACCATATAAATATTTCAGTGTCATGTCAAAAAGAGGCTCAACATATAACTAAAAAAAACAACAACAACAAAACAAAAATATAATTAAAAACTTTATGCATGTTGTACAAAACAGATTAAGAGGTATAAAAACAATTTTCAACCAATCGCAGTTGGTTTGAGTAATTTCAAAAGCCCGAGTTTGTATCTAATGAAAACATAAATACGAGACTGTGCAACAGGTTGTAGTCAGTCAACTCAAAATGCCAACTGATCTAGACAAATCTCCGCCAAGCGACTAAAGGTCAATGGATTCACTGAAGGCTAAAAGTAAAAGCCACTTTCTCTAAGTAAATACGCTTATAAGCGGCTTTTTCTTCGGTAATGTCAGTAACGACATTTAATAAAATTTAACTTTTTTCCAAACACATGTCTACGAACATTTCAACTCGTAAGATTGTTTGCTAAAAAACTTTAACAATAACATACTTTCAGATACAAAAACTTCGTCATAAAAAATGTAAATAAACTAACTAGTTTTACTTTTAAGTTTCCACAATTAGAATTTAGACGTTGTAACTATGACTAATTACAAACATGCTAATAATTTGGTTAGATTTGATAGAAACAGACTTATGAAAATATTTTATGAGAATGACAATGATAATGTATATATGTTGGTGGGTTATTATAATAAATTAATGATTTAACTAAAAACAAAGAATATTGATGACTCAATCAATACAATGATAAAGAAAAATAATGGGATAGGTTTTACTTTTGTTTAATGGCATTTAAATTGATTTTTTTCATGCTCTTCAAAATCACGAATTTATAATAAAACTGAATTGTATTTATTTGATTAAGGTTATTAATTAACTTACAGAATGATAAAAACCATTTTTTTTTAAAGAAATGTTCTTTTAATTCTAGTGAGCAAGTAACGACAGACATGAGATCGTTGTAACGGAAACAGACGAAAATTGCCGAAGTAGCAAATATTAATACATCTTATCTACGTTTTCGTTGCCAAATCCGGTTCAACATGGCGAATTCACCTTTGAATACGGATAAAGCGGCTGATAGTTGTAATAAGTAAGTTTTTAAAGAGTTTCTATATTATTGAATGTCATTTGAATCGATACTTCGAGCCAAATTTCTGACATCTTTCTCTAATGATAGTGTATTTCTTATCCCGCCAATATGATTTAGTTTCTATTTTATTTACTTGTTGTCTTCATTCTTGCATTATTACACAATAATACAATCTGCACGTGTTTTGTAAACTAAAATTAACTAATTTATTTTTTATGTTACTTACTAGGCGATCTTAGTCATCAGAGAGTAATTTATTTCTTTATTACATTGTTGGTAGATTTTAATTTTTCCTGTGTTGATCGTCTCTGGTCTTTTATGTTTTACTTTTAATTTAAAGTTTCCTCCTTCCTTAAAAAATCTTGTTTCTTTCCTTCTTTCTTTTTTTTTTTTTAACCTTCAAGAAAAACATTTTCCCGCTTTAATAAATTAATTACTTTTTTGTTATTTATTATATTCTATAGTCTTTAATGCGCCAACTTTGTTTCAGTTTAAAAAGAGAGAGAAAAAAAAGCGGAAGTAAGTTCCATGTCGTTTCCCCTCCCTTTTTTCAGTACAAACTTTTGAATTAAAAAAAAAACAAAACAAGGAATTCATTGCTATTTTTTAATTCTCTTCTCGAATGAAGAATCGTAAAAATACGCATATGAAGCAAATTTCTAAAATTTATTTTTTTCCTTTCGCTTTTATTTGACTTTTAGTTTCTTTTCTTTTAAAGACGAAGAATAACGAATTGTTATTCTTAGATTCTTCTTGTTTATAAAACTTCTGTCGAATTTTTTGGTTAGACAATTGCACTTTTTATGCAATCTAATAACGGAAATTTTCGGGTATTAAGATTAGCGCTTCAAACGATTCCTGAATAGCAGACACCGATTTCTTTTTCTTTTACATTCCCCTTAGTTTTAGTTTTTGAGCCCCCCATTTGATGCAGTCATACATCATAAAACGAAAAGTACCCTCTAACTTTTTCATTCAATGAACAAACTTTTTTTTTTTTTTAAAAAAAAAAGAAGAAAAAAAAGATAAGTGCGCGCAAATAGGGCGAATGTTTTCAGCCAATAAATCCAGAAGGATGCTCAGAATATGAGGCTAGTTAAACAAGCGTGAAGGAAATATAAGGGAGATAATTCAGTATTTGTTATGTAAAAATTGTTTTGGGGCAGCAAACTCCCCAATACACGAAAATATCAGGCTGGAGTTTTTAAAACATCCAAAGTGACTTTAGCTTTTTTTTTTTTTTTTTTTTTCGGCATACTAAATTACCTAACCTCATATCCTGAAAACATCCCCCCCCCTATAAAAAGAAATTCAATTTTTGTAGTCAACAAGAAAACAAAAGATGAAAAAAAGGTCGAACCGACCTTCTTATTTTGCATTTGACCATTTGTAGCTGAAATAAATTAAAATAATTACTTTTTTGTTATTTTCGTTTTATTTCGAACTTTCATATGCAAATGAAGTTGATAGATCAACATTTATTTTATTTTTGTTTTACACATTCTGATTTTGATACAGTAAATTAATTTTTCATTATTTATTTGAGAAGTGTGCTTATGAGACAAGGTAATTTAATAAAAATCGTTCTAGTTTTCTCTTTTAACTTTTAGAGTTGAAGATATAACACCAAAAAGTCAATTACTAAAAAAAAAAAATCATATTGTTAGGATATTTATTTATCTTAATAAAATAAGTACAGGGTGTTCCAAAAGTCTCATAATCATTGATAACCTTGTAAATAAATTTTATATTTATTTACTAAAAAATAAATGGAATCACGTTTTTTTTTTTTTTCTGTATGTGACAATATTAAGCGATTTTAATGGTCGAATTATAGAAGATGATGTCATGCAAATTTTGCCTGGTTGCTATTTCACAAGTGTGTGTACGTTTTCACTTTTTTCTGCCAATTGTTGCGTGACTTTTTTTTTTTTTTTTTTTTGGAACACTCCTTTACTTTTCAACTTTTCTCAATCAAAATTGTTTTTCTCTTTTTCTGGATTTTTTTTTTTAAGTTATTTATTTTTATTTACATTTGGAAAATGTTTTCAAACAAATATCCAGATCGTAGGTTCGAGTAATTGGTTATTCATCATTGACAAAGAATATTAAAAAAAAAAAAAAAAAAAGCTCATATGTTGCTGTTTTGTCTTTTAACCTGTTACATACCCGAGTCATAATCTATGAAAATTTATAACGTTTTTTTAAAAAGTTTTTGTAAGATCACTAAGGAAAGCGAATTTAACTTTTGATGACTCCTTTGTAACGCAAAAATGTACTAAATTTCTTTGAAAATACCAATCATGCTTTCGCTCAACATTCAAAAGATCCCATCTCGATTTAATTAATTAATATTTTCTTTAAGAACTTTTACTTATCCGAGGGAAGAATTTTCTCAAATGGACAGATAAACTTAATTTATTTTCCCCAAACTTTGGTTTTTAGTTCGTCTGATGAATATTAACATAAAATTCGTACCCACTCCTTTATTTTTATGATTCTCTAGTTTTTAAAACTTTGGTGTTTGTGGTTTTTCTTTTAATAAATAAAATAATAGAAAAGAAAGACCAGAGACATAAAAAACTCTTAGTCTTAATTTTGGATATTTATTTTGCCTTTTTTAAAAAAAAGTTTTTTCCAACATGGCAAAAACTAAGAAGGTTTTAATTATTAATTAATTCAACCTTAGTTCTTGCTATGTTGAGAGAACAGAACATTTTATCATAAAATGTTCTGTTCTCTCTCCACCCTTTACACCTGGGTTTTAAATGCTTGCTGGGTAGGATTCCTTTTTCTCGTGACATCAAATCAAGCGGTGTTGACTATCACTTGTTCCTTCTTTTATTTTGGTTTTTGCATTTTAAAATCCGTTCAGTCGGAGAGTTCATTTTATTTTTAATTTATATAGGTAGTCTTTACTTGCACCGCCACTAGCACGGAAACTGGCACAAGGTCGAATGTAAAGAGTCCCACACGTATATGAGACTAGGGAGAAACTCTTCGCGGCATTTTCGCTTTTAGATTTGCTTCATGCACCAATTAACCATAGCCACTCCCCCCAAGGGGCTCTTTTTATTTTACATAAAAAAAAAAATGCATTAACAAAGATATCGGAAGATTTTGAAGTCTTTATTTTAGTTTTAATTCTAACCTAATAGATTAAATTTTAATATTTCCAATAAGCAAAATACTTTGTATTTCAAGTTGATTTGAATTTGAATTATTTTATTTGCAATCTTTAAAATCGACCTTATTGACAAATCTGTCAATACAACATAATCTTTCAAAAATAAAATACGCTTTTCTGAAATATTATTTGAGGAAGATTAATTTGAATTAAAGCAAATATTACTTTTAGTATTAAAAATTGCCTTTTTTTTTTTTTTAACATGGAGATGGGTATTTTTATGAGGTGTTGGCAACTCTCTCGATAAATTTATGTTTGGGAAATTTTCTACGGGGGACATAACTAAAAATTTCTTGATGAATATAACCTAAGCAACTTTTTCATATAATTTTTTTTACTATATGCTAATCTAGGTACCTTCACTAATTTTGAGTACCTAAGAATTAAAATGAATTTTTAAAAGCATTCTTGAAGCTTTTTTAAGCTTTAATTGAAAACTCTACTTTTTCTCAACTTTTTAGTTGCTTTCAGAAAATCATTTAAAATCGGCCTTTTTTTTTTTTTTTCTCTGACACATTTATAAACAAAATTTAATTCTCAGTTTTAAAAATCTTTCAAAAATAATACTTTTCTGAAACTTTATTTGAGGAATATTAGCTAATTTAAAGTATAATTAATCTGGTTTGAAACAAATATTATTTACTTTAAGTTTAAAATAACAGAGAAATGGATTTTTACAACCAGCAGTACTGGTGATTACATGCTTATCACTGTTGCTTGTCAGTCACGTAATAAGTGCTGATACAATTTGACACCACTTTTTTATTGTTGTTTTATGGCGGCTTTATCTGTTAAAACATAATTTAAGAAAATGATGGGTGAGTGCCTGTTTTATATAATTTTTAAGTACTTGGTAATCTTAAAGATTGGAAAATATTCTCTGTAATCTAATTAAGGAAAGTTGACTTTAAATTTACTATAGTCATCACTTTTATTTTCTGATAATGTCATGTATGGTCAACCATATTTTCAAACTGGCACGTTACATAATATCTTATATACATAAGAAAAAAAAAAATTAAAAATTATTTTAATAATCTTGGTGCAAAACTACTTTTAAGGTTTACAATTTTTGATTCGTAAATATAGTTTTCACTTAATAACAATATTACCTAGCTTACATAAAGTGATGCAGAATTTTTAAATTATAATCAAAATTTGAAAAAATGAAAACCTTGTAAAAATTCATTATTCATCAAAATTTTTTTCTTAAGACAATAGTGTCCTTAAAATCTTATTTATAAAAGCAAATTTTCTACATAAATTTAATTTCTTGAAATTTCATGAAATTAAGTGGAGGTAACATGTTAAAAAAATAAAATATTTATATCAAGATATAAAAATAAAATTTCATTCATTCAATTTGATTTTTGCAAGAATTTCCAAATTAATGTTTTTCAGATGAAAAGAGTGATAAAGCACTAATCGTAAATATTACTGCTGACATAGAAAAAAAGATTTTGTACTAGAAATGATTAAATAATTTAATAAAATAAAAAAAGATACTTTGGTCTTTTTTTAATAATAAACATTTTAATGATAAAATTTTGTTTTTATTAAGTTTGGGGCCTTTTTTTTTTTCATTATGCTATGCCATTTTTCAGCGAAAAAGTGTAGGTACCTACACTAATCTTAAAAAAAAAGTAATCTAATATTTTATTGAATTTTAGATACTTTGATTTTATATTTTTATGAAGATGCTTGTTGAGGAAATGTAAGGGCATTACCAATAAATTCTAAATTTACTATAATTACGGCTATTATTTTCTGATAGTAAACAATTCTTGTAAAAATTCATTATTCCATGAAAAACAATTTTTTCCTTAAGACAGTATATTTTAATCACAAAAGCAATTAAAAGTACTTCTAATTAAATAATGTTTTAATTTTATTGCATTTTTCATTTTACAATTCAGAGCAGATTTTCTGTAACTGATGGTCCTGTTTTACCTAAAAAAAGAAAAAAAATTAGACTATATAATATTTAGAAATTGTCCTATATATACATATATATATATATATATATATATATATATATATATATATATATATATAAAAATCTCATCTTAAGATGATTCTAAACACAGGCCTAGCAGCCATGCAAGTGTACAAAGAAAGAACAAAAAATAATCTCCTGTACTATAAAATAACTATATGCATAAAAATCATTTTATTCACCATAGACCTTTTAGATGATATTGCAAAAATAATGAGTTAATTTGTTTATACCAGTTGATTATGGAAAATATAATTAGGAAGTAATTTCAACATTTTACGAAATCATGTATCAACAAAGTTTGAAAAAATACTGCACAAAAAGTGTGAATTTTTGAGAAACAATAATTTTGATAATCTTTACAAAATTTGATTTTTATTATATGTACAATGTTTCACAGAAGATGAAGGAAATACTTATTTTGCTATGATACAATAATAGATATTACCAGTACACATAATTTTAATAATTAAAATCAATTAAAAAAATATATAAAGATGTTTCAAGTGAATTAACTGCATTATTTTATTTTTTTTTCAGCATGGCTGATGGAAATACTGACTTTCCAGTAAGTCATCGTCCTTTGCCTAAAGGTTGGAGACGTCATGTTGTTAAAAGAATGAATGGGAAAACTGCAGGAAAATTTGATGTTTATTTTTACAGGTAACTAATTTTTTTTCTTTTTTATTACTGAGTCACTGAGTCTGTTTTAGCTTTGACAGTTTGATATATATATATATATATATATATATATATATATATATATATATATATATATATATATATATATATATATTTTTTTTTTTTTTTTGTTACTAATTAAATAATATGCCAGTTACCTAATACTAAAGTAAACATTTATCTCTGATTAAGATCTTTAAACTGTGTTCATGGTGTGGTTTATGGCTCAATGGGAGAGATTTGGGATAAGATGGTGTTGCACTAATAATAGAAGTAGGGATGCCATAATTTATTTTTTAGTTTTTATTTGGGTAATTTGCTCAGTTTCTAATAGAAATTTCCCAAATAGTTCCATTTAGGTGTAAATTTACATGCTTAATTTGAAAATAATAATGAAATTTTGTTAAAATCTACTATTTAAGAGTTATCAACAATAGAAGTTCTGACTCCTTCACATCCATTCACATCGGGTCTGTCTGCCATTACTGCTGTTGGTTTTATACGTTTGCCTTGAGTAGTCATGTGCAGAAGCTTACTTAGTTAACAGCCTTTTTTACTGATCTTACTTGTCTCAATTATTGCGTAGAACCAAAATTCTTTAGACACTTGAAAGTGAACTTTGTATATATTTTTTTTTTTTTTATAGTGAAGTTGTAATAATAATGAATTCTTGGTTAAATAATAAAACAAATAATTAAATAGATTAAAAACAAATTAAATAATAAAACAATTTTTTTTTTTTTTTAAATTGGAATCAATCCCTCATGCCTGTGTGTGCATATGGTGGGAACAATGTGCAACTATCTTGGCCAACAAGGAGATTTTTATGAATTGTATAACATTTTAATTTTTTTTCTCTTGTCTCAGATAATTTAAAAGAACAAAACAAAAAATCAAAAAACTTGGTGTTTTTGTATGACTATTTTGTTAGGACTTAACTTTTTGACTTCAAGTACTGGCGGATAGAAAACTTCGGGTAAGGACAGGAAAAAGAAAAGGAATGAATTGTAAGAAAGACGTCTAATATGGGTGTGGTGTTGTCATAATTTTTATTTATCCATTTTTTTTTTTTTAAAAAAAAAAAAAAATGGAGAAACTTAAAAGAAATTTATTCTTTTTTTTTTTTTCACTAAAGATAGAATATTGACAGTTTGCAATTGGGTGTTTCTTAAGCATCTGATTTTTTTTTTTTTTTTTTCAGATTTATTAATGAAATATTTAATTTATAAAAAGAATATGAACATATAAAAGTATTTTTATCTGCTCAATGGATGGCAGTGTTTATTTTTATTTGAAATGAATTCACAATTTATTTTTAAAAGTTTATATTGATGAAAATTTATTTTTCTGTTTCAGTCCTGAAAATCAAAAGTTTCGTTCCAGAGTAAAACTAATGGAACATTTTGAAAAAAACTTGTTGGATTTTAATATTGATGATTTTGAATTCAACCAAAAGAAAAGCAATTCTGTGAAAAAGTCTAGTGATCCTCAACCTGCAAAGAAGAAAAAATCTGCATCTCCTAAAAAAACCAACTCAAAGACTATTCAGTCTTCCTCCTTGCCTGTAAATTACTTGAGAAAAGGGAAAAAATTGACTGTGAAGATTTCATTTCCAGTTCCGATAAAATATCGTCCTTATTATCCGACCCATGCTAACATCTGGCGTTACATTGATGATTGCGTGAGCATTGAAGAATGTGGAGAGCTAAAAAGCAAAAGTGAGTTGTCGGCTGAAAAGGAGAACAATTTGAAACGATTGTTGAAAAACTCTCCTTCTCCTCCCATGCCGCCTGAAAAAAAGAAAGAGAAAACATCTCGAAAACCTTCATCAAAAAAGAATATTTCACTGAAAGAAAATGAAACGAAATGTAACTCGCCCAAACTTAAAGAACGAAACATTTCAGACCTTGCCACAGACTTGAATTGCAAAGAGCAGTCAATGAAAGATGTCGAGTTCAATCCTGATGCTGGCCTTTCAAAATTAAAATCGGGTGCCCTTAAAGAAAATGGAGAGCCGACAAGTAACAAACTTCCTTTAAAAAAAAGAAAAATTAATCTCTCAGCAGAATCGGTAAAGAATTTGAGTCCAAAAAAAATTTCTAAATTTGAAGTGTTAGACAAACAGTGCTTATCTCCCAAATCTGTTGTGTCACTTTCTTCAGGTAATTGGACCCCTTGTGACCAAGGTGAGCTCTGAATGGCACAAGGAATGTCTTTCTATGTCTCTCTCTCTCTCTGTCTATGTCTCTCTCTCTTTTTGTCTCTCTCTCTCTGTCTGTCTGGTGCTCCCATTGCCTCTCCTCATACCTCTTCTTTAAAATGAGTGTGTGTGCATGCATGCATACATGGGTGAAAGAGGAAGTCAGAGGGAGTCAAAGATTGTTGTATTATGAAGCTGATATTTTTTTATGTGCATAATCTCAAAGTGCCTGTGCTGTTATTTATTCCCCCCGCCCCAACCCTTTGCCCCTTAAAGAATCAAAGAAACATTTATTTCCTTTTTCAATAACCAAAGTAGGTTCTGATGACGTTTAAGACTTCCGCTTAGGAAGACTTTCCAAGTTTTCATAAAATTTGGACTTTATGACTCTTGTATTTTTATAAGACGCAATTGCACCCACAAGCCTTTTTTCTCACAAAATGTTCTATTTAATTTTGGATTTAAAACAAAAAAATAGAAACAGTTTTGAGGGTTCTCCCCATCCCACCCTAAATTAATCTTTTAATATTCATGACTGTTCAAGTGTTCAGTCTAAAATTTTGTCAAGAAATTTAAATTTGGAATTGGCATAAAGCCATTAACTTTGATTAGACTCGTACATGTAAAGAAAGACATTAACAAAAATCGTATCATCAGATTTAGTTTATTCATAAACACTAAAATACAACGTTGATCTTATTTAACACTATTTATCCCCTTAAAGGAACTAGTTTTATTTATTTTCTTTTGAATTTAAAGAAAAACATATAGTTATTTGGTTTGTTTATTTTCTCCAATTAACTGTGATACTAAAATTTTTTTTTTTTTTTTTCTCTTTTTTTCTATTTTCTTCATTCTTCAGAAGATCTTTTATCTCTTTCAGATTATTTATAATGTGGTAAAATTCTTATATTCATTGCTTTATTTTAAATAGTAAAAAAAAAAAAAAAAAAAATAATATTCAAGAATACTTATTTCAAAATCTGTAGCTCTAAAATTTTCCAGTTGGAGGGAAAATCAATCTACAATTATTTTGAGAATTTATTAAGATATTTTAAAATTGTCCATTTTAAAGGAAGGAGAGAAAAAAATTCATTCATCTGTAAATAAGTTTTTATGTAAATTTGTGTATGCACACGCATGCAACTGCAGTGAAATTAGATTTTTTGTTCAGTGTTGATGCTGTATGTTTAGCTCATTTTTTAGCCTTTGTCAAAGTTAAATGGATGGTATCATTCATTAAAGCGGCATTTTTTTAGATAACCTCTATATATATATATATATATATATATATATATATATATATATATATATATATATATATATATCTCCATGCACACTTTCTTTCTTGCACTCCTATTAAAACTCTAACAAAATAGTGAATAACAAAAACATTAGGATGAGTACTGCTATATAATACTTATTAGTAATTCATTAATTCCAACTTTGTCCCTTTTGTTCACTGCTACTCAAATGCTTTTTGGAAAAGTATAAATCCATCTCTTCAAGCTATAGGTTAAATAGCAGAGCAAACTGGTCTCTCAAGCCTTGGGTGTCAGTCTGTTTAGAAAAACAACTCTTCTTGAAGCTTGAAAAGTTAATAGAAAATCACACCGTTATCTTTCATTGCAATTTGCACAATGAAAAGGAAATTGTGGAATGTTATGATTGCTTACACCCTGAAGAGAGGTCATTAAAAAAATTAATTGTAAACTGAAAGTTATTTTGCAGTATCCACAATTTTTCATTTTAAAAATATTTTAGCTGTGTTAGTTTGACACGAGTTGAAGTATTGAAAATTTAGAAAGGACATAGTTTTTGACTAAGTGTTTGTGTTCTTTTGAGTTAAAGAATTGTTAGTTGAACAGTTTTTGATATTGTACTGTTTGGCATTTGGAGAAATGGTAATAGTGATATTAGCCGTTTCCTTATAAGGTAACCTTCCAGCATTCATTAACTGAGTAGCCAGTGTTGCTGTCAATTGAAATTTATAAAATTTTTCTCTTAAGGCTGCTTTTCATGATAAGTTGGTCAACTTTAATATTTATAAATAAATGTGCTTCTTTATTTTGGCCTTATTTGAGGATTTTATTTTCAAATTAAAGAAAGTTTGGAGATACGAATGTTTTTTGTATCAAAACAAAGTAATAAGAATCTCTTAGTAATAGATGGCTTAATGAATTACTATGATTTTGTAAAGATATAAAGATTTAAAGGTATTAACTGACAATTAGATATTAATTACAATGGGTTTTCATATTTACAACCTTTAGCTTGGTGTGGCACAAGTTTAAATCAGAGAAGGAAATGTCAAAAGATTTGCTTTCATTTCTTGTAAGTAGGCAGGAATCTGCTTGCCTTTTTGAAATCTTAAAATACGCTGGCGTTTATTCTTTTCATTTGGTTCTCGATTCTGATAGACGTTGCCTTTTTATATTTTGATAATACTACAATAATTTCAATCATGACTTAAATTGAAAACTTGTTTGAATGATTTATTCTTTTATTTTTGCTATTAAGTTGTTTCAGTGAATGTTTTCGGTGTTCAGTCCTTGAATTGTGAGAATTGGCAAAAATATTGATTCTTCAAGTTCTGTCTTTCCTTAAACAAATGAAAAATTGTTACTTTCATTTGTGTTTAATGATGGAATCAATTTATCTGAAATAAAATTACTCCTTTGATTAGGATTCATATATTTTATATCTTGTTGGTCTGAAATAAAATTAAAGAAACAATTTCCTTGGAATGAATGAAATTTAAAAAAAGAAAAAAGATTTCTTGCTCCATTTTCAGACTCTGAAATCTTTAAACTTGGTAACCAGTTTTTTTTTTTTTTTTTTTTTGAATTGACCTAACTTTGTTTCATAAATGAAAAAAGCTTTCAGATTTCTCGTGTCATTTTTGGCTTTCAATGCAACTCAAATTTTACAAACATTCCACCATGATTATTATTCATCCAGGCTTACGCCCAGATCATATTAAAATACTGGTTCTCATATGATCACCAGTTAAGCAACATTAAACCTGGTCATTACCTAGATAGGGGGACCACGTGGGAATATCGGGTGCTGTCAGCCTGGATGTGTGGGTGGTGTAACAACTGCTCAGAATTGAATATTGGAGAACCAATTCCAGTTGGGTTTGTTATATTCACTTACACACACATACCCTTTGAAAATGTATGACTTCACCTCTTCTTTCTCCAGTTATGGGTTAATTAGTAAGATATGTATCAGTAAATTGTTATCTTCAAAAAACTTAACATTCTAAAAATAGTTTTTTGCTTTAAATAATTTGCAAGGAGTTGATAAACTGTAAAGAAAAAAAGAAAAAAATCCAAATATGGGCCATTCTGACACTTATTTTTATTGTTTTCAAACTCCCATGATTAATGAGATTTAATTTCACAAATATTTTCTCTTTTTTCATTATTACCTGGCTTATATTGTTCCAGTAGGCATGTGGTTAGGATGTTTGCATTCTGATAATTAGACCAGTGTTCAAATCTTATCATGTTCAATTTGTCAGGAAGGACTGGAGGGGTCGATCCCAGCATGTGGCACCTTTTGGAAAGTGCCTGAAAACCATACCACAGATTAACCCAAGCCTTGTGAGTGAAATTGGGTAGATGGTACCCTTGGGGACCGTTGATAGCTCACAATTCATCTTGGCTGAGGGCTTGAGCATGCTGGCCTTGTTCAAATTGTTGATTATGCTAGATAGCACGCTCTCTCCTAGAAACCGTAACTAAGATTTTCTCAGCATAGTTGCAGTATAAACCATAGGTGAGCTCTGTGGTTGTTGAATAAACACAGATGTGCCTGAGCAAGCATCTGCAATAGGAACTGGCTAGCTGCCCTAGTAGATGGCTATCCTCAAATGCGGGTAGCCAGCTATACCATATCCATATTGTAGCTACTTTATAAGATTTTGCCTGTTTATATACATGCTCTAGTAAATGAGTAATTATTTGAAAATATTAACTTGTATTTATTTACACATGGACTATTGTCCTCATCTTTGTTATCACATTTTGGTCATTGGGGTCTCTGGTCTTCATTATGATTGTCAATACAGGTAACCTTCATGGAATTTAAAACTGAACCCTTTATTTAATCTACGCTGTCCATGTTTATGGATATCTCTAATTCTTATTTAGTACTGATCAGTTATTGCTAACCTTATTTCTACTGATTACACACTGCCTGTGGGACAATTCTGAGTAAAAAACTAGGAGCCTTAAACCTAACCTGCATGCTGATGAGTTCTGCCACTACTTGTCATGTTTCACTGAGGCTTCATTTTTTACTACAACTGCTATTGAAGCCTTGCTGTTACTTTTCTTTATTAATGGCTCCCATATCATAATTATTTCTATGCTTGGCTTACTAACGTGGCACCGATAGCACTGATTCTTTCAAAGCATTTGGAGGCAATAAATGACTGAGCAGTACTAAATTAGAACTAAATTAGATATCTCTGGACATGGACAAGCTAACCATACAGATTAAATAAATGTTTGAGTTTGGTAATAGTCATGTAAATAATTATCCATTGACTCAATAATACAAGCCTCGAGAAATAGCTGGCTGGTCTTCGTACCAGCCAATCGGATTGATTTTCACATTTCTTGCATACCTGGGCCTTTCAATGGTGGTTTCTATGATAGTTTGCCATGTTCTGTGATTTTGTATTAAATGAGGGCTTGTGAAAAGGTCAGTATCATTTTGGCACTGAAACTCCAAATGAAGCTCTGTTTCCAAAGGTTAACAAAAGCTTTTATCATGGATCTGATTAACTTTTTCTGTTGTCTTTCCAAATCTTCCTTTTATAATTGTCCTACTTATATCAATTACTTTGTAAATGTATTAAAGTTTTCAACATAATTTATAATGGTTAAAAGGTGGATTTAGATGCAAGGAGTATAAAACTTGCTTTTCAGCCATTAATGTTATTAATCCAATCTATAGAATTTATATTGAAAT